CACTTAACTGCTTGCACCACTGGGCTGGCCCAGAAATATTCTTTTTTCACTTAGCAAAATATTATGAGCATTTTTCTACAACATTAAGCATTTTTTGGAAACACTAGTTTTGTTAGATGTATAATATTCTAATGAATGAATGTCTCACTTATTTGACTATTCTTATAATTAAAAATTTAGGTTGTTCCCAGGTTTTTTTGTTTATTTATTTTGCTATAATGCAAATGAATATCTTTATATATAAATTTTGTCCCAGTTTCATATTGTTTTCCTAAGCTAGATTCCCTACAAGTAGAATCACTAGATTATAAGGTATGAACATTTTAAAGATCATTCATGCTTGTTTGCAGATTTCTTCCTAGAAATTTTTTAGCTATTTGCAGCCCCATCTAGCAATGTGTGAACATATCTTTTCTTACCGTGTCCTCACCAGAATTTGGATTTATGTGTTAAATATTTGACAGATTTGATAGGGGTAATGGTATCTTATTATTGGTTTTATTTGCATTTGTTTGATTACTACTTAGATAATCATATTAGTCGTTTGTATTTTTTTCTGTATTTACCTATTCTTATCTTTTGCCTTTATTTCTGTTGGTATATATTCCCAATATACAGTGGCTGAGCTCTTTCAATAATTATTTGTTTATTGAATTTGTTATATTTATTGCATGAATATAATATAAAATATGAACTTTGTTATATTTATTGCAAGTAGTTTCCCAGTTTGTCCTTTGTTTTGTAATTTTGTTTGTTCTTTTCACATACAAAACCCTAAAATTTATGTGATCCACTTCCTGAGATAAGTTAAATAATCACACATATTTTCTTCTTGGCTTTTTAACATTCAACTCTCTAATACAATTGGAATTTGTTTAGTATAAGTATAGAATTTAGTATGAATATAGTATAGTATAGGATAAGTTAGAATTTAGCTTAATTTTATTTCACCCACTCTTGGGAAGTTTTTCCAATTCTCTTTGTTAAGTAATCCATCCTTCTCCATTGACTTGTGATGTCTTCTTTATTATATATTAAGGTCTTAAGTATACTAAAATCTGTTTCAGCGCTATTTTTTCTTTTTCATTAAACTATCAAATTTCATGCCATAACAAACTATTTTAATTGTTGTAGTTTCTGATGTTTTGATAATTAGTAGGATAAATGTCATAACTTTCCTGTTAAAGGTGTTCTTACAAGATTCTGCCTATTTATTCTTCCAGACTATTTTTTTAATTGAAATATATTTGATGTATAATATTGTGTAAATTTAAGATGTGCAACATGTTAGTTTGATACATTTATATATTGTGGTATGATTGCCATTGTAGTGATAATTAGCACCTCTATCACTTTACATAATTATCCTTTCTTTTTAGTAGTTGGAATAACTAAGGTCTAGTCTCAGATTAATTTTTTAACTAAAAACAATCTCATTGAAATTTTGATTGGAATTGCTTTAAACCTCAAAATTAATTTTATTCACTCATTGATTTAGCAATATGAGTGCCTACCTTTGATTTACTCGTCTCTGTAATAGGTAGCTACCTGTCAGTTCTAATCAACAATTTCTTTAACACTTTTCAGCAGTTTATTGAAATTCAGCCTTTGGTAATTTAAAGTATCCTCTTGAGTCAAGTCTGGGAAAAATGTTTCACTAGTAAATCTTCTAAGATTAGCTATTCAAAGAGATTTTTTTCTGATGGTCTCTTCTAGGAATGACAGCTTAGCTAGGTAGATAATCATTGGAATACAACCTTTGATTTGAGTCTTAATCTTTCAATTGTCTTTGGGTTTTTGTTGATTTATTTTTAACAACCTAAGCAAACTCTGATTTGTAATCTTTTAAAGTGCACATTTCTTACTCCCCCTTCCCCGCTTTGTGGCTTACAAAATTATTTCTTTTTCTTTGTAGTTTAAAAATGTTAATGGGCTCAGCCTTGGTGTCAGTCTCTAACTGTTAATTTTGTTTGGAACTCCATCGTCTTTGTATATCTCTGGCCTCTTTCTCTTTTTTGTTTTGACTTTTTGAAATTTTCTTCTGTTGTTTTCAGCTTTATACCATCTGTTCTGTGTTTTGGAATCCTGATTATTGTAGGTTGAATCTCCTTGCTCTGTTCTCCAATTAGTTAAGATTCTATACTATTTCTTGTATTTGCATAATCATTCTGTTCTCAAGATATTTCACAAATTTGTTTTTTTTTTCGGTTGAGTTATCTACAATGTCATTTCTGCTTTCTACAGCCTCAAATGATACTCTTAATTCTTCAGTTTCCATTTTCATTGCACTGAATTCATTTTATCTTGAGCCATTGTTATTTAATATAAATGCTATCTTTTTGAAATCTCTTTGAGTGAGTTTCCCTTGTTCTTTAAATACTTATTATTATTTTTCAATCATTTCTTAATTTTTTTAAACATTAAAGATGAATGAATTTTCATCTCAGCTCTTCTTACTTGGTTTTCATTTCTAAAATGCTTTTAGTTGTAGATTTTTTGTTGTTGTTAATTAATCTTTCATGTTGATGAACTAAGATTTGCTGGCACTGAAAAATTTTCATTAGAGGTTATTGTAATTGGCATTTTAATGAGATTTGAAGGAAAGAAGTTCCTGGCCCTGTTAATCCCTCTTCTATCTTTCAGAAGTTTCCTGTTGCATTCCTAGAACCTACATTATATAATGCCCGACACATCACTGTGTGAAAATAGCTGATTAAATGTTCTTTGACAATGGTATTTTTCTTTTATTTTAGGGCCTTCACTGTGACTTTGCTTGCCTGATGTTTCAATACCTAGTAAATAAGCCTTCAGAAGAAAGAGTCAGGGAGATCATTGTTAATGCTGTTGAAATTGAGCAGGTAAGCAGGGAAGTTTACATGATTAGTGAATCTCTTTCTCTGATGTTTGTACGTTGTATTAGGTTGACTCATATGAAATTGCCATTTTGTAGGTCAAAACAAATATCAGCAATTTTATATGGTGAACCTGACAGTACCAAGAGGTGATATACTGCAATTATTATGTCAGTTTATAATTTGGTTTATGAGTAAGTATTATATATTAAGGTTTTATGTATTCTAAAATCTGTTTCAGGACTATTTTTTCTGTCTCATTGATCTGTCAAATTTCATGCCATAACAAACTATTTTAGTTATTTTAGCTTTATATTTTTAGATTTTTAGCTACTGGAGGACAGTGATAGTTTCTTGTTTGTTTTGTATTCTCAAAAGCCTAACAGGGTATCTAGCCTGAAGCGTGCACCAAAAGTTTGTAGAATGAATAAATGAATGAATTAGTGAATAGTAAACTTAATTTATAGCGTGTAAAGATCTCTGACTACAAAGATCTGGATGCTCCACTTAGAATATGTTTTTATCATTTGAAAGAACTTCAGTCATGTGTCACTTATGACAGGGACATGTTCTGAGAAATGTGTCATTAGGTGATTTTGTTGTGTGAACATCATAGAGTATACTTACACAAACCTAGATGGTGGAGCCTACTATACACCTAGTCGTATGGGACCACCGTCATATATGTAGTCTGTTGTTGACTGAAATGTCATTATGCGTCACATGACTATAGTTTAAAAGTAAAATAAATTTTTTGAACTTTTTTTTTAACACCTCATAGTTTAACAGCCATTGTTTTCATATTGGGAGGGGAAAAGGCATAAAATGCATTTTGGAATCTTTACTCATTTTGAGAACTAAATCCAAATGGTTAACATGTTTTTATTTTTTCTCTGTTAACACTTAACCGTTGTATTTCAATATAGTTGGAGTTCAGTTTATCTCCCAACACTCAGATTCATTTCTATTTCTTTCTTATTTTCTTTGTTAATTGAGTTTTTTCCTTTTTCCTAGTTCCCTTCCATAGTCATGTTTCCCACAATGATTATCTTTGGTGAATCTTTTTGTAGATATTTCAGAACAAAGGATCTTTTTTTTTTTTTCCATTGACAAAGCATATGAGTTCAGGTCCTACATGTGCTCCTTTTTTAAATACCAGTAATTTGATAGTTTCACTTTATTTTGACTATTTGAGAATGTGAAATAATGTGAATAGTAGTACTCCCAAACATTTTTTAACAAATGGACGTTGGCGTGTTGAAAGAATTTATCCTCGTGTACTTTCCTTGAGCAAGATCAGTGACTTAGAAGATTAATAAAACTAAAACCCCCTTTTTATTTGGAAAATACATATTTATTATTCCGTCTTTGTACTTTATTCTGTTTTTCTTTATGTCTCAGGAGTTTTTAACAGAAGCCTTGCCAGTTGACCTCATTGGAATGAATCGTGTTTTGATGAAACAGTATATTGAGTTTGTAGCTGACAGATTACTTGTGGAACTTGGGTTCTCAAAGGTAAAGTGTTTAAAAATGTGTTGCTACTGGGCCGGCCCCTTGGCTTAGCGGTTAAGTGCGCACGCTCCGCTACTGGCAGCCCGGGTTCGGATCCTGGGTGCGCACCAACGCACCGCTTCTCCGGCCACGCTGAGGCCGCGTCCCACATACAGCAACTGGAAGGATGTGCAACTATGACATACAACTATCTGCTGGGGCTTTGGGGAAAAAAAGAAAAGGGAGGAGGATTGGCAATAGATGTTAGCTCAGAGCCGGTCTTCCGCAGCAAAACGGGGAGGATTAGCACAGATGTTAGCTCAGGGCTGATCTTCCTCACACACACACAAAAAAAATGTATTGCTATTAGCTAAAATGTTATAGTTAAGGCCACTAAAATATTACATTTCGTTGAAACCATTTGTAACATACTAGACTACTTTTAAAATGTCCATGACAGAGCCTTGTTTTGCATGAACAAATGGGTTTTGCAAAATCCTTCGAAACTTAAGATGAAATTCATAACAGAAGTAGGAGGCTGATTAATCTTAGAACTAAAAAGCTCGATAAATTACTTTGTAATAATTGCAGGTATTTATTTAATAGGATCATCTTTAAGTAATTGGATTTAATATGTATATATATGTTTACCTTCATATAAATCCCTATGGGTCTATGTTGTAATTTTTGGGTTAATACTTTTAAATAGGAAATAGTTATTAAGAAGATATTAACTGTCATAATTTGACTCTTTGAACTCAGTTGTCTTTAAATTATTTCTGTCGTTTTGTTTATCAGAGGTAATATATCTGAATTTCATAAAGAGGTATGCTTTTCACATGACTTAACAGACGGAGGCTGCAGCCAGACTACCTGGGTTTGAATCCTGGTTCCACCACTTTCTAGCTATGTGACTATAGGCAAGTTGCTTAACCTCTATCTCAGTTTCCTCATCCCTAAAATGAAGATACTGATAATAATACTTACCACAAAGGATTATTGTTGAATTGGTATACTTAAAGCACTTAAAACAGTGTCAGACATACAGTAAATGCACACCAAATGGTCATGTTGTATTCAACATAAGTAGAACATTCACAGAACTTTACTATTACTATACCATGGTAATTAGAAATTATAGATTTTGATTTCTTAGCATGGAAATGTAAGTTTACATTGTATTTAATGTGAAGCCTTATGAAATCCATGATGCTGGGGTAATCATTACCTTTCTTGGTAATACATTTGTATTCTGATAACCACAGAAATACTGTAGTGAAAGAGTCAGGTGGGGCAAAGGTTTTTTGTAAGATAAACTGTTTATATTTTATTATTTTAGTTGCAAGATCCTATCTATGTTTACTAATAGTTAATGAGAGTAATCAAGATTATAATAGTATTAATATGATCTCTTAAGTTTGTAAACTGTATATTAAAAAAAATTATATTTTTTCCAAAGTTATACCAATATGTTTGTTATAGGAAAATTAATTTGCTTACTTATACCTTAAAGTGAACTCACTATCCTTTAACCCACCACCATATCCTCACACCCAAACATCCATGTTCCCTTGCTTATTGGAAAATTATGAACCCCTGGATCTAGTTTTCCCTTTGGGAACTTGCTAAATGTAGGTCTATAAAACATGCCTCCTACAGAAGAAAATCTAAACACAGTATAAAACATCATTTTTCCACAGTTTTTCAAAATATCTCAATAAATTCTAAAAAGCAGAAATTATGCAGACCTCTTAGATTTTAAATTTGAAATTAGCGATAAAAGATTGCCGAAAAGTTCCATTACTTAGAAATTGAAAAGATACCCTTTAAAATGAGATTGGAAATGAAAATATACACTAATAGAAAATATAAACTAGAGGACAATAAGATTACTGTTTATTAAAGCTTGTAGAATGTAGCCAAACAGATCCTCAGGAATATTTATAGCCTTGAATGTATATATTAAGAAAACAAAACGATTTAAAATACATGAACTAAACTTTGAACTCAAGGAGCTAGAAAAAGAAATATTCTTATAATTTTAGGTTTTGGTAAAATAGGAGATTATTTAAATTAAGAAATGGTTGTCATTTATACAGAATTCTAAATAGGAGCCACATTAATGATGTTTTCAACTTTTAGTTTAGGATTAGTCCATAAATATTGAGTACTTCTATCTGTCAAAAACAAGCCACTTAATTTAGCTTGGTCTTAGTTACTGTGTTCGTGCTATGAATGATTTGGATCAGATTTTTTGGAAGGTCCCCAGTTTTAAAATCCACTGAATCTGTGACTGTTTGTCCAGTGCTCTTTCCACTGTTTCCTGCTGAGTGTGATAGCTCAAATTTTCACTACCTCTTAAACACACTGTTTCTGACAGGCAATTTCACAGAATTCCACAACTCAACCACACATAGCATTTGAGCTTTCATTAAAAAGAAAATAATATATATGTATATATATGATATAAATCACAGAGCGTGCAATTCGCCTGTTAATAAATGTCCAATCCAATGGTTTTTAGTATATTCACAGAGTTGTACAACTATAGCAACAATCTGTTTTAGAACATGTTTATCACCCCACAAACTCTGTACCCATTAGCAATCAGTCACTTCCCTTTCTTTCCCCCATCCCGACTTTAGCCCTAGGCACCACTAATCTAATTTCTGTCTCTTTAGATTTGCCTATTCTGTATATCCCATTTCATATAAGTATAATCATATAATATATGGTCTTTTGTGTCTGGATTCTTTCCTTAGTATAATATTTTCAAGGTTCATTCATGTTGTAGTATGTATCAGTACTTTATTCCTTTTTATGACCAGAGAATATTTCATTGTATGGCTATACCAAATTTTATTTATCCATTTACTGATTGATGACATTTGGGTTGTTTCCACTTTTTGGCTAATATGAATAATGCTGCTATGAACATTCATGTATAAGTTTTGTGTGGACATATGTTTTCATTTCTCTTGGATATATAACTAGAAGAGAAATTGCTGGGTTATATAGTAACTCTATTTTATAATCATTAGAGGAACTGTCAGACTATTTTTCAAAGTGAGTGCACCATTTTACATAAACACTAGCACTGTATGAGGGTTCTAGTTTCTCCACATCCTCACCGACACTTGTTATCCGTCTTTTTTATTACAGCCATCCTAGTGGGTGTGAAATGGTATCTCATTGTGATCTTGGTTTGCATTTCCCTTGTGGGTAATGATTTTAAACATCTTTTCATGTGCTTATTGGCCTTTTGTCTTTAAAGAAGTCTCTATTTGTCTGTTCAGATTTTTTGCCCATTTTAATTGGATTATTTGAATATATTCTTATCTATGGTGTCATAATTCTTGCTGGAATACTCCTAAATTCAAAAATCCTCTTTTATTGCCCCTCATGAATCATTGAAATGTGTCAGTTTCCATCAAGCTATATCTCCAAGTCTACTTCTTAAATTCAGAAGCAGTAAAAAAGCTTCTTGTTGACATATGTCCCACTTTTTATTTGAGACGTCTATAGATAGCTCGTATTTTATATGGAGTCACTATGGATAGCATTTATTCTATCTTCCCTCATCATGTGCCTTAACATCAATTTGTTGATTATCTATTCTCTTATGAACTAAGAATCGTATTTAGGTCCACAGTACATTGTTGGTAATTTAATATTTTGTAGTATCGTGTACCTGTGACTATCTAACGGTAATACCTGTGAAAATGCCTATAATATTTATGGTGTGATGGATCTCTCAAGCTGCAAAAACATTTTAGTTTGGTTGGTATTAAATCTTTCATTTCCTGAAATAATCTTTTTTTTTCCTTTCTACTTCTTAGAACACCAGAGGTGCTATTATAGTTTCTTGAGGAAGTTAGTAGGTGATCTCAGTCATCTTAAAATTTATCTGCCTTGAGTGTTTCCAGGACCTTAGGGAAGAGCGTGATCCTGTAGGTGACTAGACAGGTGATGGGAGACCTGAGCCCTGTTTTAGTTATCTGTTGCTCTTCTTGTGGGATATACTTTGACTTCTTCAGAATGTCTAATAACACTTCTTTTCTTTTCAGGTTTTTCAGGCAGAAAATCCCTTTGATTTTATGGAAAACATTTCTTTAGAAGGGAAAACAAATTTCTTTGAGAAACGAGTTTCAGAGTACCAGCGTTTTGCAGTTATGGCAGAAACCACAGATCACGTCTTCACCTTGGATGCAGATTTTTAAAACCCTCCCCATATCTAAACCTGTCATTGGTAAATAGCAGTCTATTTTTCTCTGCTTTAAAAAAAAACTTTAAGTATCTCCTTTAGGGAATAAGAGTTGGCTCAAAAGGAATCCAAAACCCAATTGCAATCAAGTTGGATTTATATAAATACACTGTAATTTTCCTAACAACCAGAGTGTGACCTAAATGCTTTTATTTTGTCACTAAAATATAAGATGGCATTATGTAGTGGTTAACAGCATGGGGCGAGGGGTCAGATAGGAGTTTGAGAAGCTGTCCTTACTACTTTGTGTGACCCTTGGCAAGTCAGTTAATCTCTCTAAACCTCAGTGTACTTATCTTTAAAACGAGTGTAGCCGTAGGTCCTAAATTCATAGAGTGGATACAAGGGTTAAGGCACAAAATAAGTGCTTGGCCAATACTACCACCACCACCACCACTACTGTGACTGCTTATTATTATCATCATTATTGTTGTTTTAATTACAGTGATGTTGTGATACGATGCTCCCATCTCCTCAAAGTAATTTGGATTCTAGGTCCTAAGATCCAGGATTAGATCTTTGTGTGTTTAATGTTTGAGGAAGAATATAAAGATTTCCTAAAAAATATTATAATTCTCATTAACTCGAGAAGAACTTCTTTGAATTCTTCGGTATGTGTGAAGGAAATTTAGTTCTTAGTTGCTTGGGCAAGATACTTATGGAGTGGAATTCAGGAGGTTATCATGGTAGTTGTAAGCAAAAGGATTTTCTGCTCCTTCTCAAGTTAAAAAGGTAACTATTGCCAGACATAGCCCTGGAATGTTTAAAACCAGAGTGAATTAGTTAGAATAGCATTTCCCAAAGAGTATTCCAAGAGCTGTCAGCCCCTCTAGATATTTGTGGGGAAAAAAAAGGGATTCTGTGGTCCAATGAGTTTGGGAAATGCTGTACACTCCGTTCCTCTTTAGAATGTACAGTCAGTACATCGCAGACTGAGAAATTCTGCAGTATGTAAACTTATTTCTCATTGCATAGTGCAAACTTACTTAACACAGATCTGTTTTTCACCTCTCAACATCTCACCTAACTAGTGTTCCTCAGAACATAGTTTGGAAAAGGCTGCCCTAGAACCATTTTATACATAGAAGAAGGGCTGTGGGCGAAGCTAGGGAGAACCTGGTTGGGATTATTGAACCATTTCAAATTTGTGCCAAGCTGTGTAATGTACCTGTGATTGACCTTAGCTGTTTTTCTTTAATATTCTTAAAACTCTTTTATGCCATTACTGAAATATAGTTCTTTTCATGGAACTGTGCATGCTGCATGATAGCAGATGTGGAGGGAGACGGAGGTCTCTGTGGAGGAGATTGAGGAAAAGCCAGGAGCCAAGGTCTCTGAGAAGTCTGCCCCTCTGTGTCATTAGGAAGTGTCAAGAGGTAGCCTGAGCTCCAGCAAGCAGTGGTTCCCCACTCACAACAAACTGCTTTATAAAATGCTGGAAGCTAAAAATTAGAAATTTTCTCTTTGCGTAACTTTTTGCTCTGTTCATGCCACAACTATCTAATTGATTAAAATTGGGAGTTTTCAAGTGAATGCAAAAGGAGCAGACCATAACTTTGTTTTTTAGAGAGAATATCAGAAACCTGAGATATTTTGGCCTACGATAATACCATTTATTTGTTCAGTGCTTCATAGTTTACCAAGTGTTTTTACATCTCCTCATTTGATCTCCCAGCTACCTTAAGAGCTTGACGGAGCAGCTAGTACTGGAATTTTACTGATGGAGACAATGAGCCTCAGAGAAATTAAATGACTTGGCCAAGATCTGCTCATAGTCACCACAATGTAATTTTTTTTCTTGGGGGTTATCATATTTCTTGTATGTAGTCCTTTGCCATCCATCTTGATTTGATTTTGCCTGTTTCCTCATTAAAGTATCACATACTTTACCTTAATTAAAGTATTAAAGTATAAATATTTTAACTATATTCAGGTAATATGTTCTAAGATATTTATCTACTGCCATACAAAAACTTAACATTAAAATTGATAATATCTGGGCCAGCCCCGTGGCTTGGCGGTTGGGTGCGCGCACTCCGCTGCTGGCGGCCCGGGTTTGGATCCCGGGCGTGCACCGACGCACCGCTTCTCTGGCCATGCTGAGGCCGCGTCCCACATAGAGCAACTAGAGGGATGTGCAGCTATGACAGACAACTATCTACTGGGGCTTTGGGGGAGAATAAATAAATAAATAAATAAAAATTAAAAGAAAAAAATTGATAATATCTGTAATGACATCAGAGTGAAAGAAAAACAGTTTAACAGTCCATATTTCCTTTGTTTAGAATCCAAATCTTTCTCATAGGTAATGACAGGTGCCTTAATATGAAGCTTCTATATAGTAGCAATAAACCTAACTATATTGAGATGAAGAAGTTTTAATATCGAAATACTGGATTTTTAATACACTGGTTTATTCTATTCAATGTTCTATACCCTTTTCCAGGCCTCTAGGTTGCATATTTATTTATTATGTTTAGTATTTTGGTTCTTAGTTCTTAAGGAATGGAGAAGTTGTAGAATTTCTTTTTAATGTTATCTTGCAGGTAAAGAAAAAATTCAGAGTATGTTTACAATTTTTTTTTTAATGTATTTAAATCATTGCTATAGTAGTTAAAGTTAAGTTCATTCTTTCGGAATCTAAAAACTTGTAGTGCTATGATAGATTGCATTTATTAAAAATGTTTCATTGTAGTGTGTAGTGTCATGGCTTGGAATTACTTGGGAAGACAGTTTGACCCAGTGCTTTCAGACAGGGCTGTTTTGCTGTCCAATTATATACAACAATAAACAATTATTCTAACAACATAAGCTTATCCCAGTCATGTCTTGATATATGAATTTTTTACGGTTGTCTCATTTTGGAACATCCAAATTTTTATGCTTCTTTGGCCGTTTTATCTTTCATTTGTTCATGAAAAAATAATTGAGAAAACATAGCAGCTTGCATATATAAAAAATAAATTATTTAATATTCAGAATTTTGCATTTTACTTTTAAATATGCTACCATCACTGTCATAGAATTCCCAAATTGCATTTGTGCAGATTAAACTGAGGGCTCAATGTCACTAACTGATTTTCAGTGATAAAGAAAGCTGCTGATGGGCTGCAGTAAAGGCAGTTTAGTCCTGTAATCAGGTATTATGTTTCTGAACTGAGTTGAGTGAATTGGTAGGCAGCTCAGGAAATCTTCCCCAGCAGAATCTGCGTGAGTGGCACAGAAGTGAAATCTGTATATCTTTGTTTTAAATGATTTGCTCCTTTTTAGACAGCTACAGGTTTGAAGGAAAGTCTGATATTCCTGAGGCCTTAGAAAGAAAGGATTTGAGCCTTCAAATTTGGGGCTTAATTCAGTTAAAGAAAATATCAGTGAAAATGGAAAGCTGGAGAATGATTTTTTTTTTTTGTACAGATAAAAATATAAGAAATCAGTCTTTTTCTGACTAAGTTCACGATATTCTTAACTTATGCATTTGACTCTGTTTTGCAACTGTGTTTTGATTTTTCTAATTTCTGGTCACGTAGCAAGTTATTTGATATCTACTGTGTATAGAGAGAGCTTTACTAGGTGTGGTGTACTTAAATATTTTTTGCTAAAACACATTATGGTCAATTAAGCCACCCCTGCATATATAGGATTTGGGTTTTTTCCCCCAAAGAAATGTTATTTATTTTGGTTTAATATGTTAAAATAAACTGTATCATAGCTACATCATTTTGTGTATGTCCTTTTTGGGTAAGAATGTTTCTTTGTAAGTGCAGGGGCTACCCTAATCAAGGAATGTATGTATTTTCTATTTGTGTATACAGACAAATACATGTTGGTATTACTTTATTCAGCTATTCCCCCACTGCTGTTCTTTGACCTAAGCAGGACCCCCCAGTTGTCTCACTCATCTACTTTCTCTCAATCCATGAGCCTTTCTTCATGTCTCTTTGTATCTAGCTGAGAGTCTACAATCCGTCATGTTCCTAGTAGTAAGATTCTTTATCAGTACCCTGAACTCTGTTCTTCTTCTGCATTTCTACCTTACATAGAAAAATCAAGGAACTTCCCCCACCCTGTGTATGAATGCAGCAATCCAGTTTTTTCATATGTGCCACCCCAGCAGCCGAATGCTGCTAAAGTCATGCAAGACACGTTGAATCTACTATAAATTTATGACCCCCTATTGCCTTAGTGCATTTGGGCCGCTATAAAAAACTACCAAAGACTGAGTGGCTTAAAAAAGACATTTATTTCTCACAATTCCGGAGGCTGGGAAGTCCAAGATCAAGGCGCTGACAGATTTGGAGTCCAGTCAGGCTTGCTTTCTGGTTCATAGATAGCTGTCTACTCGCTGCGTCCTCACGTGGAGGAAGGGGCAAGGGAGCTTTCTGGGGTCTCTTTTATATGGGCACTAATTCCACTCATGAGGGCAGAGTCACCTCCCAAAGGTCCCCCCCTCCAAATACCATCACATTGGGAATTAGGTTTCAGTGTGAATTTTGGTGGGACACAAGCATTCAGTTTATAGCGCCTACCTCAGCGCTGTCTGACAGTCCGACTACAGTTTCCTGAAAAACTTGCTCTCGGTTCTCCACAATTGCTTTTTCAGTCTTCACTCTCTGCTCCTACTCTCACTTCCCAAAGAGGTGCCTTTATCATCTGCTTTTTCTTTGTGGACTACGGGCACATAAGAGATATTCTCAGAGTCAGCAGAAAAATTTGACAATACAGGAGCCCAAATTTGGAACCTAAGAAGTTGGCAGTAGAATTCAAGATACAAATTTCTATGCATGATTTCTTTTCTGTGGAGTCGTTACAATGAGGGAGTGATGAAGAATATCTGTTTTGCCTTCCCTTCTTCTGGGAACAACAGCCATTTAATTCTGGGAGCTGCTGCTCCCCCTCTCACCACGTGGTTATCGCGGGGCTGCCAACACTGGCACACACCCCACCTGTCTGGGCGCAGGGTTAGGCGTGTGATCCAGGCAGGGCCAGGTCCTTACCTAGGGTTTTTCTAATTGAAACTAAAGGAAGAGGATCACTTTTATTCTAATGACAAAGCTAGAGAAAGAGTCCTAGTTCTAACTCCCCTGAGGCCCAACTGTATCCTGATTCTTTGCAGCCTTTCATAAATAAATGCCTACTTTTTGCCTAAGATAGTTCAAGGTAAGTTTCTTTATTTGCAACCAAAAGGACCCTAGTTAAAACAGAAATTGGTTCCTAGAAACAAAGCGATTGGAAAGAACGAGGGTGTTCATGTGTGCATCAGTCAAGGAGCTGAGAGCCCAGAGTTTGCACCTTGGGTGGCCCCTGAGAGCCAGCTTTTTAAGTGAAACAGAAGTACTGTCTGGAGGACAAGATGACGAGTAGGAGAGGGAGGTACAGCTGAGTTGTGAGTCTCAGAAGAGCAGGGTTGTTACACAAGAATGTGGCGTCCATGGTCTGCATGGTCATCCTGCAATGAAATAGCTGTCCTTGTTTTGGATGAACTTTCTAGGTGACTTGTGCATGTGGGCTTTCTGTACCCAGTGCCAGCTCACAACCACATCTGCTCTCTGTTCATTTCTCCAGGTTAGCATATTTACACGTCCTGGGAAACAAGAGTCTCCTCCAGTTTGTCTGAGTAATGGTCAAGGAGTGTGTTCTTGATATTCCCTCATCATTAATGATAGTGTCCAAGTTCTGAGAGTACAAATGTGTGCTTCACTGTATCTTGAAAATTTAATTCCTAGTAAAATAATAAACATTTGTACATACTTCAGAGTTTATAAGGTGATTTTGAAATCATGTCATTCCAATCATTTCAGTGGTTCACTAATTTTATGAGGAATTACTATGTCATAATAGTATTGATAAGGGACCTTGTCTTGACATGAGTACAACCATGTTTGGCCGCTCCATTGACCTACAGCCACCAGCACAAAAAGAAATATAAAAGCTGCTTTCTGTGTGGTGGGAACTGACCCTTCTCTCACGGAGGGAGTTGCAAGTTGTAACATTTCAAGGCTCTTGGAGCATCGTAGCACGGGATGGACTGGCCATCTGTGCCGTGCTGGGACGATAACCAAAGAGAACAATGCACGTGCACAACTGCTGGGCTGGGACGTTAGCCAGGGGGCTCAGTGCACATAACGCCACTGATAACCATTTTGTGCATGGGAACACTAAATGCTTGCTCTGCAAACTCTGTAATTGCTTACTCTGAAAATTACTGATGATATAAAAACTGCTGGAAACTGAGCCCAAATGAGAGAGAGTTCCACCTGTGGAAGGGACACCTTGCCCAGTACGTGTAATCCTTGCCCAGCTGCGTCGATTGACAGGACTCTCCCGGCAGTGGGGCATGAATATTGTGAGTTTTTGATTTGATATAAAGTAATTGATTTGACATGAAGTAATTGATCTGATGTGTTCTCTTTTCGGTCAACCTGGTGTTTCTCTTTCTGGTTGATTTATGTCATTTCTCTTCAGCCGATGTGGGTGTTTTCCCTTTCCAGTCGGGCTGATGTTTTTTCCCTCTTAATATTTGACCTATTTGGATCTGTTTGCAGAC